CATTGAACACACATACCTTGTTTATTTATTTATTACAGCTCTCATTGTATATCAACTAATTGGCATTCTGATGTGTACACCTATCTCTTATGAATCTGGCTACTGTGTATCTACTCCCAGAGTCAAGATTAAATTTCCTAGCCCACAGAGCTAAGAATGAGAACCAGTCCCTATCTGTCCCACTAAAGTACTAAATGGCCCTAAACGGCCTTGCCTAAGTAGCCAGCTTGGCCTTGCTCATGAGACACATAGCCTTCTTATTATACAACTTGTGAAACTTTCCATAATGTGCAGATGTTTTGGCTTGGAGTATACTTTTTAAAATGATAATGCTAAAATCAATTACAGCAATAGTATTCAAAGTGGATAGAAACAAAATTCTATTTTTATTTTTAAATTAAAAAATTAGAATTTTGCTTTGAAATCCTTCACTACATTTAGTAAATATACTTAAATCTTAAAAGAAGAATTTTGCTTTATTATGACACTAGGACTCATAGTCAGGGAGATGTTACCGGTCTCATGAGAGGTGAGGTATCCTGGGGAGGAGTGGGAGTGCCCCTCTGAGGAGAGGGTGCTGGGGACACCTTCATTCATTTACTTTCCATGTCTTGTGATTTACTGCAACTTACTGGTGGATTTACAGAGAACTAACTAATTCTCACAAAAAAAGATTTCTGTGAAAAAACTTTAGCTAAAGTTAAAAGTGAAAAAACTTTGGCTAAAGCTCTTACTAAACTTGCAAGCACAGGGCAGCTGGGTGGCTCAGTTGGTTAAGTGCTTGACTTTTGATTTCGACTCAGGTCATGATCTCAGAATCATGATATCAAGCCCCATGTCGGTCTCTGCACTCAGCAGGGAGTCTACTTGAGATTCTCTGCCTCTCCCTCTGCACATGCATATGCACACGCTTGCTCTCAAATAAGTAAATAAATAAAATCTTTAAAAAATAAAATGACAAGCACAAGAAAAGAAAAAAAGAGACCAAGGTCACATTTCTGACTTCTGATATAGGCTCTTTATCACTTACATTCTGGTATAAAAATAATGGTAAGCTACTATAATCCAACAAGGTCAGTCAAAAAATGGAAATTTGCAAGAAGACTATTTGAAATATGGATTTCTATCCACTATTATTTATAATTAATTTGACCCTACATGTATGTTTGCATTATCATGTCAGTTAAAACACTTTTTAATTTGCCATTTTGAAGGTAGAATACTATATACATAGTGTATGAATGTGTGTTCACAAATTTTAATGATTCAATAAAAAATTTAAAGACCACTAGATTGAATAATGGCACTTGGAAGAAATCTGACCTCTAACTTATTATCAAGTGACTGAAAGCTAGAATTATTATTTTTTTAAAGATTGTATTTATTTATTCATGAGAGACACAGAAGAGAGAGGCAGAGACATAGGCAGAGGGAGAAGCAGGCTCCCTATGGGGACCCTGATGTGGGACTCAATCCCAGGACCCAGGATCACGACCTGAGCCAAAGGGAGATACTTAACCACTGAGCCACCGAGGTGCCCCAAAAGCTAGAATTATTATGAAATAATATCCTTACAGATAAGGTAGAGATTGTACTAGAAAGTGGGCTACCTAGGCCACCAGGACTTTACAGTTTGAGAAATTTGGGAGTCAGTACCCAGGAATAACTGTAGAATCAGAGGGTTTGGCTGTTAAACTAGCTTGCCATTGCTAGCTACAACCTGGGGCAAATTAGTTAAACTACTGCATCTCAGTTTCTTCAACTGTAAAGTGAGAATAAAATTAGTACTTTCTGCATAAGGTTATTTTTGGGATTAAATGAGTTAATAGTTATGAGTTTAAATTGGTGCCTGGTGTTTGGTAAGTGCTCAGTGAATATTTACTAAATATCAAGCTTTGATTAAATTTGGAACAAAAACCCTTGCTATCTACTGCCTTGGCCAACAGGGGTCAGTACACAGCAATTTACATGGGGAAGCTAAATAAAATGCTTAATGAGTGTGAGAAACGATTTTCAGTGTTTGAGGAAAACTTAGTGTTTCAGAAAATTTTTGTAAAATGGTGTTAAAAGAAATCAGTAACCATAAAAGTAAGCAATTAGTGAGAAACATAGGAAGAGAAAAAAAAGTCAAAGACCTTAGAAAACAATTCAATAATAAATACATTTAAAATGTCTAAAACCGATTGAAAATGCAGAAGGACATTTTAAGTAGGAATGCCCCAAAGCAGAGGCCTTAAAAATTCATGGTGCCGTAGAGCGCTGTGTTGCCAAGAAGAACAGCTTGCTCAATGAAGTAACCAAGTATGTATTTCAAGTTCTACTTGAAGACTGCTCTGAAGCCTGAGGGATGGGAAAAGGCATGAGCCTTCCTATTTTTCCATATACCTAACAGTGTTATTGCCTATTGAGTGCTCACTGTATGCCAAGTGCTGTACACACATCACCATATTTCTCTTCTGACTTTTTTTTTTAAGATTTTATTTATTTATTCATGAGAGACACACAGAGAGAGACAGAGACAGGCAGAGGGAGAAGCAGGGTCCACATGGGGAGCCCGATGTGGGACTTGATCCCGGGTCTCCAGGATCACGCCCTGGGCTGAAAGCAGACGCTCAACCGCTGAGCCACCCAGGCGTCCCTTTTTTCTGACTTTTTAACATGAAAATTGTCAAATATATAGAATAGATAGAATAATAAAATGAACATCCATATACACATCCATCAATTGAACATTTAACACTTTCCATATTTTAATTTTTCTAAATTATTTTAAGATACAGATATAAAACATTTTATCCCTAAATACATTAATATGTATATCTAAAAGAGAGACATTTTTCTACATAAGCACAATGCTATTATCATACCTAACAAAAAAAGCCATTGTTTAATATCATCTCATGCCCTGGTTTGTATGCAGATTTAATTGTCCCCAAAATATCTTTTATATCTGGTTTATTGAACCAGAACCAAGGACAAGCCATTGCACATAGTTACTATGTCTCTTAGATTTGTTTTAATCTAGAACACTCTGCCCTCAGTCTTTTTTTTTTTTTTTTTTTTTTTTTTTTGTAATTACAGGGACTCGATTTAAGAGACAGCCATTTGTTCTACAGGATGTCCCACCATTTGTTCAGAATTTTTCTGATGCTTTCCTCTCAGTATCATTTTATTCTTTTACCCTTGTTGTTCCTGCTTGAGCTTGATTATATAGAAGTGAGTTTGGGAAACAGTGCTTCACAGACTATACTAGTGCTTCATATTGTATCACATCAGGACACACATAATGTCGGGTTGGTCCACTTTTAGTGATTATAAGATCAATCTAGGTTAAGGTGGGAGGAACCAGATTCCTTCATTGTCATTATGTTTTTCTTCACACTACAGCTAGCAATCCCTGGGGGATAATTTGGCCCTAGGTGAATATTCTTTTCCCCATCACCCTGTCACCAAATGGTTTCATTGATGATCGTGGCGTGAATCACTGATTTCATTAGGGGCTACAAATTGGTGATTTTTTCCAATTCTATCATTCATCTTACATTATTTAGCTGGCATACGTTTGTAAAGAGAACTGTTTCCTCATTAGCTGGGACTATTTGGTTATCCTGAAATACAGCTGCAAGTAGAAGGGCAAGATAAATGTTTATTTTCTTAGATTACCACTTTTCAGAGTAAAGAGTTTCTGTAATAGTTACCATGGCAAATGAGGTTTTAAAATTTTATATATATATATATTTGGTTTACTCTTCTGGTGGGGCTTTTATGTTTGACATTCTCAATCAATTGCAGTCATTATTTTTGGTGCTCAAGTTCTAATTTTGGCCAGTGGGCATTCCTTCAAGTTGGCTCCCATGTCATTTTGAAAGGACCTTGTTTGTCTTGGATACTTCCAGACTTTACTGTCACAAGATGTCCCAGGCACTCCTATTCGTTCTCAGTTTTTGACCCCGCAGAAACCATTTCTCCAAAGAGCCCTGGGACCTTTTAGTGGAGAGTGGTATTTAGAGATCAAAATCTGGGCGCCAGGGCGCCTGGGTGGCTCAGTGGTTGAGCGGCTGCCTTTGGCTGGGGTCCTGATCCCGGAGTCTTGGGATCGAGTCCCGCATCAGGCCCCCTGCATGGAGCCTGCTTCTCCCTCTGCCTGTCTCTGCCTCTCTCTGTGTGTCTCTCATGAAAAAGTAAAATACACCCCCCCCCCAAAAAAAATTGGGTGCAAAGGAAAACCATTGCCCTGAGTTCAAATTAATATTTTCATTTCAAAGTTAACAAACATAAGGTTTTACTTCTCGTTTTTACCCTTTTATATCTTATTTTACCCTGGAGTTTTTGCACATGAACAAAATCATTCTTTAAATACTTAAAGCAACCCTGTGAGATAGGGGATCACAAGCCGTATAGCATGCGATCGTGATTTACGTGCAAGTCGCTATTTTACAAGGAGGAAACAAACAAGAGGTGCCCAGGTTTACGCGGGGCAGTAAAGGGCAGCGTCGGGATTTGAACCCCGCACGCTAGTTCCATCCAGGAAGGGAGTCCCGGTCATTCCGAGGGGCTTCTCCACGGAAGTGATCAGGGCCGGGGATGCAGGGACCAGCATGTGGGGGAACAGCCTGCCGTGGCCGAACAGGGAGCTCCCTAAAGAGCACGGCAAGCCAGGGGGCCACGCCTGCCCCCCCTGAAGGGGAGAAACCCCGGGCCGCACCCGCGCGGCGCAACCCGCAAAACCGAACCCACCGGCCCTGACCGGCCTCTCCGTAGCGCCCGCCCACTCGCCAATCACAGGGAGCCTCGGGTATCTGGGCGGGACAATAGAGGAGCACGTCCAATGAGGAATCGGCTCCCGGTCGCCTCAGGCCTGAGCCTTTCAGAGTCCTAACAGGAGAGTGGATAGGAGGTGGCGGGCTTGGCCAATCATCGGGGGGGGGTAACTCTAGAGTTGGGACCGACAGCCAATCAGAAGAGCGGTCGCATCCCGCTCGCCCGGCCCACGCTTCCCGCCTTTCGGCTCCCTCCCGAGGCGCCGGCTGGTTGGCGGCGGGAGTTGCGGCGCTCGCGGTGGTGTCCTCGCGGCGGAGCCGGCGCCCTGGGCCGCGGTGCGCGGCGCGCCATGGCGGCCTCGGGCTGTGAGGACCCGCAGGGCCAGGACGGGGAGAGTTTTCTGTACTTCGCCTACGGTAGCAATCTGCTGACCGAGCGGATCCACCTCCGAAACCCGTCGGCCGCCTTCTGCTGCGTGGCCCGCCTGCAGGTCAGTGCTGCCCGCCGCCCCGCCGCCCCGCCGCCCCGCCGCCCCGCCGCCCCGCCGCCCCGCCGCCGAGGGGCCGCATTCCGAGGAGTCGCCTTGCCGGGCCGGGGCCGGGGCCGGGGCCGGGGCCGGGGCGCGGCTCCTGCTGCGGGGGCACGTCCCCGGGGGGCTGGGCCTGCCCGCCGACGTGGGGCGCGCGCACAGCCTCCCTGCCTCGGTTCCTCCTCGCGTCTGTGCCCCCAGTCGGGGACTCGGCCTCCCCGCCCCTTGCTGCGGGGCTGGTCAGCTGCTGCCCGAGCTCGGCCGCGCTGGGACGGGCCGGGGGGAGGGGCTGTGCCCGGCTACGTCGGGGCCCACCTGGGTGAAAGGCGCAGCTCTTCGGGGGAGCCTGCGACTCTCCGTCTCGGCGTCGGAGTTCCCGCCGCTGTGGGGCGTAGACATCGCTGAAATGAATAAAACCTAAAAAAAAAAAGTTGGCAAATTGAATTTAAACTTACCAGATGCAAAAAACAAACAAACAAAAAAAAAGTTGGGCAGCCCCGGTGCCTCCGCAGTTAAGCGCCGCCTTCAGCCCAGGGCGTGATCCTGGGGACCGGGATCGAGTCCCACGTCGGGCTCCCTGCGTGGAGCCTGCTTCTCCCTCTGCCTGTGTCTCTGCCTCTCTCGCTCTCTCGCTCTCTCTCTCTCATGAATAAATAAGTAACTTTTTAAAAAAAAAAGTAAAAAAAAAAATGCTCTGCGGTGCAACCAGTCATTTCTTCGGATTTTCTTCCCTGCAGATAACAAAAGTTGATAAAGTTGGCTCCTTTGAGGACCTCCAGGTCTATGAGAGGGACACCCAAAAAAGATCATGTACGAAATCTTTTGACATTGTTGAATTAGAGAAACACGGTCTCTGCTGTCGTTGTCCGGGTTTCTTAGTTGCAAGCAACAGAAAGTGGCTGATGTCAGCAGAAAAAAAGAGTCTGTTTGAAAGGCTGTTGGAGGACTCACAGAATGACCAGGAAGGCAGGACCACAGAGCTGACCAAACAGGCCAGGCAGGCAGAGGAGGGGTTCGTTGTTGAGTCAGTGGATGGAGCCTGGGACCCTTGATCTCAGGGTTGTGAGTGAGGTCAAGCCCCACGTTGGATATGGAGCCTACTTTAAAGACGAAAATGAAGAACAGGCAGGCATAAAGGGGAGCACAGCAACTGTAACAGCCAGTGTCACAGATAGAACTAGCCCAGGGGGCCGCTGGGGCACCGCTGCTGAACTTGATGAGTGTGGACACTGCGTTGTGCATCACTGACCCCGCCTGCTCTGGACCTTACCTGCTCCTGTCACAGCGCAGGGCAGTTCCTGAAAACTAGATGCGTCCTCCACCTCTAGGAGGTCATTTCTGCGGTTCTTGGGCACTAGCACTGGCTTCTAATTCAGAGTCCCAGGTGGGTGTCCTGATTGGCTAACTTGGCCATGTGCCCACGCCCTGACTGCAAGCAAACCTGGGAGAAGCAACTGCTGGCATTTGAAGCCTCAAAAATGGGAGTTGTGCTCTAGCACTTTTTACCCCCCCCCCCCCTGACTCCTGAGGGCGGAGGTTGCCTAACTGTGGGAAAGAAGTTCAGATGCTTATAGTTGGGACAAGTGGAAGAGCTATCAAGCAAATGATTATTCAGTTACGGATATGGTGAGTTTAAAGAGGAGACATGTTGTACCTTCCTCTGAATTTTTCTGTGAACCTAAAACTGCTATAAAAAAGTGAAGTCTTTGAAAAAAAAAGGGGGGGGGGTGCAGCCCCAGTGGCCCAGCGGTTTGGCGCCGCCTTCGGCCTGGGGTGTGATCCTGGAGACCCAAGATCAAGTCCCATGTCGGGCTCCCTGCATGGAGCCTCTTCTCTCCCTCTCCCTCTGCCTGTGTCTCTGCCTCTCTCACTCTGTGTATGTCTCTCATTAATAAATAAATAAAATCTTAAAAAAAAAAAAAAGGAAACCTACAAGATACTATGGGAATGTATGACTTGGGGTCCTGACCTAAGAGCTTAGTAAAGCTCTTCCTGAAAATATGACTTTTACGCAGAGACTTGAATGGTTGGGCAGGGGGAGACCAAGAAAAGAGAAGGAACAGCATGTACGAATGACCTCAGGAAAGAAGAAGCTGGATCATCCAGCTGCTATGGCTGGAGTTTAATGTGTGAGGAGGATATAGCATGGCAACTAGAGAGGTAGGGAAGTACCACATGTTACAGGGCCATAGAGGCCAAAGAAGACTTTGGTCTTTATCTTATGAGCAATGAAAAGATCCATTGCAGAATTTAAGCAAATGAAAGATGAAATTTACAACTTCAAAGCTCATTCTGGTTGATATGGAAAATGGATTGGAAAGGGAGACAGCAGTGGTTGTAGGGAGCCCAGTTAGAAAGCTTTTGTAGCAGTGCATGCTAAGGATAATGGTACCTTGAACTGATAGCAGCGGAGGGTAAATGGGCTAGAGAGAGATTTAGCAGAAACCAATGTTAGGCCTTGGTGATTGATTGTGAAGGGAGGAAGAGATAACAGAGGTGACTAAGGTTTTTGATGCAATAGGGTAGATGATAGTGTATTTGTAAAGAGAAGAGGAGAATTAGTTTTTGAACATACTGAGTTTGAGATGCTTGTCGTACATCCAAGTGAGCAGTGAAATATTAGTGATCATTTATTAACTATTCACTGTGTGGTAGGCCCTGTTCTAAGCACTTCTGAAGTTTAGAAGAGAGATCTGGGTTGAATTAAAACATGATTGGAATATTGGATGGTATTTAAAGTCATTGGAACGGATAGACTGTCTTGAACAAATTGCTGATGAACAGGGAAAAGGACCTAAACTGAGCCCTTAGCCACTCTACCATTTAAAGGCCAGGTATGGAGGAAGAGTCAGCAAAGGGAATTAAGATCAGGGAACAGTCTGAAAGTCAGGAAGGAGACAGAACAAGACAGGGTGGTTAACTATGTTAGAAACAGCCGAAATGTGGAGCAAGCAGAGGAATGAAAATTGTCTATTGGATTTAGCAGTGGACAGCCAGTACCTAATGTGGTTGTGACTTTTTATCCGCTCTCCTGATGTCCTGACAGGGCTACTTGGTCCAGTATACCAATTGAAGAAGATACTGGTCACTCATATCAACCTTTCTTCTGAAACGTCTGACATTTCTAAGAAAATAAAGGTGACAGGGATAAAATAATAAACCTTAGATTCAGTATCTAGTCCAGCCTTTTATTATTAAGGAAACTAAGCTCTGGAGAGATGAAAAGAAATTTTCTATACCAAACAGCCAAATAAGGGTTTTTAATCTTTCCCAGTTCTCTCTGCTCTGATTACCCATCTCTATAGGGAAGCGGCCCAACTGGAAACCTGGCTCCACTACCTATTAGTTGTGAGACCTTGGGCAAGTTGCTTAATCTTTAGAAGCCACAGTTTTTCTTACTGATAAATGGGTATAATAAGGTTGTTGGCAGGATAAAAATGAGCGTCCATATAAAGCTCATAGTGTAGTTATAGCACTAGTAATGTACTAGTGTTAGCTGCTCTTAAGCTTGTTATAGATATAATAGTATATAATTCATGAATGCTAAATTACTGTTAGTAAGTATACAAATCACCCTCAAATGCCAGCTCCTCGAGGGCAAACATGGTGATAGATGCTAGTAGGATACTCTCTACATACATAAAAGTAGGTTATAAGCCCTATGTAGCTACCGAGACTCAACAATTATGTATACTATGGTTGCCTCTAAGTTAAAATCTATGTGTATGTAGGTAGACTGGTCAAAAATGAAAATAGTTAAGGCATTGGAATTACAAGGGTTTTTTAAACCTTTAAACCTGTTTATGGTAAGATGTATACATATTATATATGTAGTGTACATTTCACTTTTAAAGAAGAATATGAAAAAATACAGTCCTTGAGATCTGGGTCCTTGTTTTACCTTTGTATTTTTTACGGTTCCTTATGCAGAGAAGGAACTCAAAGTTTATGTGTTAATTGCATGGAGTTCAGGGTAATTTTTTTTTTATTTTAAGGAAGGAAATTTGGGTTTAAGTGGATATTGATTATATCATTTTGGTTTCCTTTGTAGGATTTTAAGCTTGACTTTGGCAATTCCCAAGGCAAAACAAGTGAAACTTGGCATGGAGGTATAGCCACCATTTTTCAAAGTCCTGGAGATGAAGTATGGGGAGTAGTATGGAAAATGAACAAAAGCAATTTAAGTTCTCTGGATAAGTAGGTGGCTTCTAATTATAAGTTAAATAATAACTAATTCAGAAAGTGGATCATATGCAAAGATGTGTATATATGTGTTGGTTTTTCAAAACCATATACTATGTTCTTTACACTTTAGAGTTAACATAAAAGGTATAATGTGCACATCCTAAAAAGAAAAGCCTAGTGGCCTCTGACTGGCTCAGTCCATAGAGCATGCAACTCTTGATCTCAGGGTTGTCAGTTCAAGCCCTATGTTGGGTGTAGAGCCTACATTAAAAAAGAAAAAAGAAAGAAAATGCCTAGAAGGCTCACATATTTTGATTGAGATTGAGGGGACGTTTATAATCTCTAATGCAAAAAATGGAAGTCCTTATTTTTGTTCTATTTATCTTTTATAAAAGATCTTTGTAGTTTCATATTGTGAAAATGCCTGAAGATATTTGTAATTGTTGCATCTTTTTATTGGTTTCAAAAGCAGTTCAATTTTTATTAGAGTCACTTTTTAAAAAAGTAATTCTTTTAAGGCTGCAGTTGAGTCAGCAAAAAAAGGAATAACTTGTGAAAACTGACAACATACTAGAAATGTTTTTGATACTTTTTACAACTAGAACTCTCAAGAGTTGTGTGACAGAACATGTATACAAAGAAAGTTGGCAGAAAGGAGTAGGACTTTAGAACACATTATCTGATACGCTTGATACCTTAATGTCACTGGTGAATGAGAATGAGCCCTTCCTTCTACTTTTCTTTGGATGAATATTGTTTTCGGAACACAGTCATTTTTTATAGCCTAGAGGGCAATGTTGAAGGGTATAAAGATTGAAATAACTATATTCAAGCATGTGCTTAGATAGGATAAATATAGAGGTCTGTTAGAAGTATACCAAGTAACACTAAGAGGCTTTCCAATTGAAATACTAAGTTTACTTTTGTTGTAGTAGTATTTATAATATGTTCTGCATATCCCAAAATACGTAGGGAGCAAGTACTTCCATATATAGGTAAATTTTTAATCCAGTAAACTAACTTGGTTAAGTCAAATATGGTTAAAATTTGGCTGTTCTGGTTTCAGGCAAGAAGGGGTTAAAAGCGGAACATATGTTCCAATAGAAGTTGATGTTTATACTCAAGAAGGAAAAGAAATAACCTGTCGAAGTTATCAGATGAAAAATTATGAGAGTGCTCCCCCATCTCCCCAGTATAAAAAGGTAAACTACTTGCAAAGACTTTTGGTGATTCCTTTTTATTTTTCAATGAGCTAAACTAAAAAAGATCTTGTTTTAAAAAGACTTTGTATGCATTAAATTCTACCTGAATACTTCATTCTTTTTTTGCCTGTCCTACCCCTGTGGACACTTCATTTTAATCAAAATGTTTTTAATGCAAAGGTGATAGTTATTTACCTAACTTGCAAATTGAAAAATGTTCAGATTTATTTGTAATGAAAGAACCATGTTCCTAAACCACATTTATTTTTAAAAACTTAGGAAATATATAAAGCCATAATTCCAGGTGTGTGTTTTCTTTCCTCAAGTAGAAAATAACATATATGCGTGTATTTTTAGTGGATTTATTCTGTACATAGGCTTTTGTAATCATTTTTTTTCTTCCACAAAAGAATATTTTGTAATAGTAAGATTCTTTTTTTTTTTAATTTTTTTTGATTTTTATTTATTTATGATAGTCACAGAGAGAGAGAGAGAGAGAGAGAGAGAGGCAGAGACACAGGCAGAGGGAGAAGCAGGCTCCATGCACCGGGAGCCCGATGTGGGATTCGATCCGGGGTCTCCAGGATCGCGCCCTGGGCCAAAGGCAAGCGCCAAACCGCTGCGCCACCCAGGGATCCCAGTAAGATTCATTTTTATGGAGAAAAAATATATTTCCTATTGCTGAAATGTTTTCCATCCTAAAATCGAGGGAAAAAAGTCATCTTGTCTTTCAGAACCAGAGAAACCACTCCCACAAGCATAGGAGAGAATGTGGGATAGAAACCCCAACATCCCTTTTTAGAAACCTAAACTTAGGTACTTGTGGAAGGCCTAATCAGGACATAGCACCTGGAGTGGATGACCAGTTCCTGGGCTAATCTGGAATTTTCTAGTATGGAGCCTAGAAGAATTAAACTGCTATGAATCTGAGAAGTACCCACTAAGCATATTTGTCATTTATTACCTCAGTTCTAATTCAGAGGCAGAGTATACTCAGATTAAACTAAAACTGCTCCCTGAAAACTTTAATTTTTTTTAAAGAATGGTGTTTTTTGGGATCCCTGGGTGGCGCAGCGGTTTGGCGCCTGCCTTTGGCCCAGGGCGCGATCCTGGACACCCAGGATCGAATCCCACATCGGGCTCCTGGTGCATGGAGCCTGCTTCTCCCTCTGCCTATGTCTCTGCGCCTCTCTCTCTCTCTCTCTCTCTCTCTGTGACTATCATAAATAAATAAAAATTTAAAAAAAATTAAAAAAAAAGAATGGTGTTTTTTCTTAATAGATCATGCGAATTCTATACAAAAAGTTTTTGTCATAAAATAAAAATGTTTTAAATTAGAATGAGTAGAATCAAAAACAAAAGAAGTAACATGTTAGCAAGAATGTGGAGAAAAAGAAACCTGATGTGCTGCTTGTGGGAATGCAAACTGGTATAGCCACTGTGGAAAACAGTATAGGGGTTCCTCAAAAAATTAAAAATAGCATTATCATTTGATCTAGTAATTCTGATACTGGGTATTTACCCAAAGAAAATGAAAACATTAATTTGAAAAGATATATGCACCCCTGTGTTTACCGCAGCATTATTTACAATAACCAAGATATGGAAGCAACCCAAGTGTCCATCCATAGTTATGGAGAAATAAGACATGTGTGTGTGTGTACACACACACACATACATACAATGGAATATCACTCAGCCATAAAAAAAAAAGAATGAGATCTTGCTATTTACAGCAACACAGCTGGACCTAGAAGGTATTATGGTAAATGAAATAAGTCAGACAGAAAGACAAATACTAGATGATTTCATTCATACTTGGAATTTATGAGCAAACAAATGAACAGACAAAAAAATAGACTCTTAAATACAGAGAACAAACTGGTGGTTACCTTAGGGGAGGTGAGTAGGTGAATGAAATAGGCGAAAGAGGTTAGAGCATACTTACTATGATGAACACTGAGTAATGTAAAGAATTCTTGAGTCCTTATATTGTATACCTGAAACTATATGTTATACTTCAGTTTTTAAAATTTCAATATTTCAGGTATATATTGTATACCTGAAACTATATGTTATACTTCAGTTTTTAAAAATATCTGAATATGTTATTGAGTAGAATTGATACTCCATAAGGATGTATCTTGTGGCTTTGAAAACTCCCTGCACATTAATGCTCATTGTGAGAGGAATGACTGTCTTTATTTTGTTCTATAATTGTTTATTCTAGAGTTATCTGAAAGCTAATATTTTGTACTTTGATACTGCACATGAAGCTGTGGTCTATTTAATTATGTTCCCAACTAAAAGGTATTTCTTATTTATTTTAACCATTTCTAGGTCATTTGCCTAGGTGCAAAAGAAAACGGTTTGCCACTGGAGTATCAAAAGAAGTTAAATGCAATAGAACCAAATGACTACAAAGGAGAAGTCTCAGAAGAAATTGAAGACATTATCAAAAAGGGAGAAATAAAAACTCGTTAGAACCTAATAGAATATATCTACAGATATTTTCTGTATGTGCTAATATATTTTTAACATTTAGAACAGAGATTTGAGATATCTCTATGTTTAATATATTTTCAGCAGTGCTCTGAAGGGGTGTCTTACTTAGGTGATTCTTTGTTTTCAGATTATAAAAAGAAACTAGGTTAGAAATTAGATAATTGAAAAGGATGCCATGAGGCACTGGAATGCATGACAAGTGGATATGGGTACTCCATCTGTGAATACTTAAAAGTTATTTTCTGGAGTTGAACGTGTTCTTGCTCTGTGACAAAGGAGAGATTTGCAACTTAACGATCGTGCGGGTGAATTGCTCTGCTCTTGGATTTTTAAAATCAGTTTAATAAGAGCAAGGAAACGGCAGAGACAGTTGATAATTTTTTTTTAATTTAAAAATGGTATACTGTTCTTAGAGAAATAAATGTATTTGTGGTTTAACCTATATTCCTTACTAAAGTACTATATTTCACTTTGTTAGAGACTCCTATCATCACACATACTGGGTATGGTGTTGGCTGTACAGATTATGAGGGATTATGAGGAGAAAAACATGTTATGGAAGCTCCAATTTGACTCTTGGCTTCTTGAATTTACTGAACAAATGAGGAAAGAAGAGTCATGAATAAAACAGCACTGATTATCAAAAACTCAGGTCTCTGGAGTTAGACTTTTGAAATAGGTTATTGGAATGAAGTGAGCTAGCTGCAGAAACATAAAGATTTGGTTTATTCTCTTGGGAAAAATAACCAAAGAATTTTTCAGCTACAGCTTTTATAGTGGGACTGAACCATAGACTTCAGGTTAGATCATGTTTTATAGCTGGTATACCTCACTGTTTTCAAGTATACTCTCTAATATTCTAGTTTTCATCAGTTCCTAACTCCTCCCAAGAAGACCGAGTTTGTCAGTACCCAGAACTCAGTTACAGTAATATAGTGAGCAAGGCTTAGTTTTGGTGTAAAAACAATATTCTCATAATCTATCTCATCCACCTAAAATGACAACTTTCATTGAGGAATTTAAAACACTAACAATAAAGACTTCATGTCTGGCCTTTGAACGTAAATCTGGTAATTATGAAGTATATTGTTTTTCCAGTTTTCAAGGTAGTACTACCAAATGTCCTATGCAGGGATTTGCATTTCCTCCAGTGATTTTGACCCTCTAACCACAATACCACCAGCTCCTGCATAAAACTCTAACAAGCAGTTTTTGAAAAGCATTTCTGGGCTTGCAGAAAAATGAGGAATACCTTCAAGTTGTACCAATCCTTTTCTCACAAAAAGAAGATAAAGTATTTTCTAGCACTGGTAAAGAAGTGAAGCTAACATCTTTGGGTACAAATGCCAATAATAGCCCTGGAATTTGACTACTAACCCTTGAGCAATCCTGCTGCAGGACAGGAAAACAACCTGATAATTCTGTATGAAACTAGGACCCTTGAAGAGAATTAAAATGATCTCTAGTAAGCCTCGTGGCTTCCAGCAGAGGTATATGCAAATCCTCTCTGGAGAAAGCAATTTTAATTTAGGTCCTCAGAATGTCCACCTGAAAATTTAAAAGATAATAATAAGGAAAATGATGTATCATAAGTGAGAACAGAAAAAATACCTAGATCCCCAGGGTTTTGAGATAGTGAAATGATCAAAAACAGTATGAAATAATTCTATCTGGAGACTGACTTCTGGAAAGATAGACATAATCTTCCTTATTCCTTCTGTTAAGTACAACTAAAACATTATATATAAAACAAGATTCCGAAAGGAGAGAAAGCAGGCTAGCCAGGGACCTCAGGACCAAGACACAAGATGGTACGGAATTCCCTGAGTTTTCTCTTGCCTCATACAGCTCAAATGTGTAGCTGAAGAAGTCAGCAATCTAAAGTACCTATGAGCACAGACAAGCAAAATAAGGAATACCTACTCTGTAGTCAAAGGACTAGGAAGCGTATTATCTAATCAGACAAAACTTTCAGAAAATAAATGTTCTCCAGCCAATTACCACAAGGAAAAATTATGGACCCCATTCCTACCTCTAACCCATGCCAAGAAAGATCAAGAGGGGAGCCTAGACTTCAACCCTCACCAGGCACTCTAACACTGTCCCCTATCACAACTACCAGGGCAGTGTCAGAAAAGGGTGAGAAGGGACCCCCCGCCCCCAGCAATAACAGGCCCTGTCTCTGCCTACCCCTCATCATGTTAGTGGATACCATGCAGGGAGCCTGGACTTAGACTGCCCATCGGGCATTAACAAGGTGCCTCCCTCTGCTGGGGTGGTGTCAGAGGCCAAGTGGTAGTTGAGGACTTTCATCACCACCCAATGACAAAAAAGCCATCCTTTCCTATTACATCAGTGAGTGCCATTTAGTTGGGCAGTGATAAGGCATTCCTACTCCTAGGAACTGGGGAAGTACCAGTGGAGGTTTATTGGGAGGTTGGAACTCCCACCTCCACTCAACAGTAACACTTACACTCCCTTGAGTGACAACAGTAGCTAAGTGGTAACCTGAACTTTTACCTCCATTTAGCAATATCAAGACAATGACCCTTGCTGCCTTCTGCTGGAGTGGTTTCAGGTTAAGCTAGCTAAAGTAGATTTCAATAAGATCCAGAGGCTTATAATTTCCAGAATGTCCAGGTTTTAATTGAAAATCACTAATTCCAAGAGCCAGGAAGATCTCAAACTAAATGAGAAAAGATCATAAGTAGATGCCAAAACAGGTTATCTTAGAGGAAAAAAGCAGTGAACTGGAAGAAAGAACAAAAGAAATTGTTCTATCTAGCACAGAAAAAACAGACTGGAAAAAAAATTAACAGCCTCAAGGACCTATGGGGCTATAATACAAGATCCAACATTTGTGTCATGGGAGTCTCAGAAAGAAGGAAGAAAAAAAAGAGGGCAGATTGAAAAAATACCCCAAGAAATAATGGTTTAGGGCAGCCCAAGTGGCTCAGCGGTTTAGTGCTGCCTTCGGCCCAGGGCATGATCCTGAAGACCCGGGATCGAGTCCCACGTCAGGCTCCCTGCATGGAGCCTGCTTCTCCCTCTGCCTGTGTCTCTGCCTCTCTCTCTCTCTCTCTCTCTCTCTCTCTCTCTCTCTCTCTCTCTCATGAATAAATAAATAAAATCTTAAAAAAAAAGTATAGTTTAAATGTCCTAAATATGCTAAAAGACATAAACCTATAGATTCAAGAAATTGAATGAAGCCATGACAGTTCATGTTGTTTAACCCAAACATCTAACTCCCAGGTTTGTGGGTGGAATTAACAATAGTGTATATAAAATGCCTAGCACAGTACGTTGATATACAGCTGTTGCCTAGTAAGCAGTAGTTAACATTAGAGGGAGGAGGACGTGAGTGAACCCCAAACAAACAGAAATCTGCACCAGACACTTTATAATAATCACACTTGTAAGAACCAATGACAAGGGACGCCTGGGTGGCTCAGCAGTTGAGTATCTGCCTTTGCTCAGGGCATGATCCCGGGTCTGGGGATCAAGTCCCCACATCAGGTTCCCTGCAGGGAGCCTGCTTCTCCCTCTGCCTGTATCTCTGCCTCTCTGTGTGTCTATCATGAATAAATTAGTAAAATCGTTAAAAAAAAATGACAAAAGTTCTTGAGAGCAGCAAATGACAGATAACACCTCACCTGCAGGAGAAACAATTCAAATGACACCAGATTTCTCATCAGAAATCATGAAAACCAAAAGGAAGTAGCATATTTTTCTAGTGCTGAAGAAAACTGTCAAATCAGAATCCATTTAAAATAGCCTATGAGAATAAAGGGGAAAATCAAGACATTCTTAGATAAAGGAGGACTAGAAAAATTTGTTGTTAGCAGACCTACCCTAAAAGAATGGCTGAAGAAAGTTTTCTAGACAGGAAGGAAGAAATCAAAAGAAGTAGGACATCAGAAAGGAAAAAAGTAAACTGGTAGGCAAAACTAGTAAATACGACATGTTCCTCCTCTTGAATTTCTGAAATAATGAAGCAAAAATTATGACATTGTGGTTCTAAATATATGTAGAAGTAGCATTTAAAGTAATTATAAAAGGAGGAGTGGATCCCTGGGTGGCTCAGCAGTTTGGCGCCTGCCTTTGGCTCAGGCCGTGATCCTGGAGACCGGGGATCGAGTCCCACCCACATCGGGCCTCCGGCATGAAGCCTGCTTCTCCCTCTGCCTGTGTCTCTGCCTCTCTCTCTCTGTCTTCATGAATAAATAAATAAAATCTTTTTAAAAAAATTATACAAGGAGGAAAGTAAAGGGACATTAGGTTTCTATACTTATTTGAACTGGTAAAATGATGACACTAGTAGACTGAAAAATTGTGTATATATAGTAATAGCTAGAGAAACAGCTAAAAAAGGTACAAAAACAGATACCCTTAAACATTATAGAGGGGCACCTGGGTAGCTCAGTTGGTTAAGCATCCAACTCTTGATTTCAGCTCAGGTCATGATCCTAGGGTAGTGAGATCTAAGCCCCACATAGGGCTCTTTACTGGGGGCATGGAACCTGCTTAAGAATCTTTTCCAGGGCGCCTGGGTGCCTCAGCTCAGGTGGTTAAGCATCTGCCTTTGGCTTAGGTCATGATCCTGGTGTCCTAGGATCAAGCCCCAGATAGGGCTCCCTGCTCAGCGGGGAGTCTGCTTCTCCCTCTCCCTCTGCCCCTCCCCTCTGCTCCTGCACATTCTCTCTCTCTCTAATAAATAAATAAATCTTTTAAAAAATTGTCAGAAATATAAAGAGCATCTATAAAATACCTACAGCTAACATTATACTTAATAGTAAAAGACTGAATGCTTTTCCCCTAAAACCAGGAATAAGGCGAGGATACCTGCTCTTACCACTGTTATTCAACATGGTGCTAGAAGTTCTAGCCAGTGCAATAAGGAAAAAAGAAAAAAGAAAAGAAAAGAAAAGAGAAAAAAGAAAGAAAAGAAGAAAAGAAAAGAAAAGAAAAGAAAAGAAAAGAAAAAAAAGAAAAGAAAGGCTTACAAATTGGAAAGGAACAAATGAAACAGTTCCTATTTGATATGGGATATGATTGTCCATGCAGAAAATTTCCTAGGAATCTACAGAAAAAAAGTATTGCCTAGAACCAATAACTGAATCCAGCAAAGTCTCAGAATACAAGATAAACGTACAAAAATCAATTGTATTTCTATACATTGAGATACATGGACAGTGAAATTAAAAATGTAATAACCATTTGCAATTGGTTTTTGTAAAACTGTAATATTTCTTATTAAGATAAAATCCATACAACAAAATTAACTATTTTAAAGTGAAAAATTTAATGGCACTTAATACATTCACAATATTGCCCAACTACTACCTCTGTCTACTTTCAAAATGTTTTCATCATCCTAAATGGGAACCACATATCCATTGAGCAGTTATTCTCCATTCCTCCCCCCTCCCCAATTCCCTGGAAACCACCAATCTGCATTCTGTCTCTGGATTTACCTATTCTGTATATTTCAAATAAAAGGAATGTGACCTTTTGTGTCTGGCTTCTTTCACTTAGCACGTCTTTGAGGTTAACCAACATTTAGCATATATCAGTACCTCATTCTTTTTTCTGGCTGCATAATACTCTATTATATGTGCAGACTACAATTATTTGTTTATCCATTATTGAACATTTGGAATGTTTTCATCTTTTGACTATTATAAGTAGTGCTATTATTGAACACATGCACATATACATTTGAATATCTCCTTTTTTATTTAAATATAATTAACAGTATGTTAGTTTCAGATGTACAAAAGGATGATTCAACAATTTTATACATTTCTCGGTGCTCATCAAGAAAAGTGTGCTTTTGGGCAGCCCAGGTGGCTTAGTGGTTTAGTGCCGCCTTCAGCCCAGAGTGTGATCCTGGAGACCCGGGATTGAGTCCCACGTCGGGCTCCCTGCATGGAGCCTGCTTCTCCCTCTGCCTCTGTCTCTTCTGTCTGTCTGTGTCTTTCTCTCTCTCTCTGTCTCTGTCTCTCATGAATAAATAAAATCTTAAAGAAAGTAAAGTGTGCTTTTAATTCCCTTTATCTATTTCAGCATTCCCCCACCACCTAAGAGCATAGGGTTTTGGGTTGTTTCTTTTCCTCTTTGTTCATTTGTTTCATTTCTTAAATTTCACATATGAGTGAGATCATTTGGAATTTGTCTTTCTGTCTGATTTACTTCACTTAGCATTATAACCTCTAAGTCTACCCATGTTGCAAATGGCAAGATTTCATTCTTTTTATGACTAATATTTTATTGTATTATTTATATATATTCTTTATCCATTTATCTATGGATATCTGTCTATGTATCTATATGTATGTATGTATGTATGTATGTATGTATCTATCTATCTATCATCTATCCAACTCTTGCTATTTCCATATCTTGGCTATTGTAAGCAATGCTGAAATAAACATAGGGGTGCATATATCTTTTTGAATTAGTTTTTTGTTTCCTTTGAGTAAATACCCAGTGAAATTAGTGGATCATATGGCAATCCTATGTTTAATTTTTTGAGGAACCCCCATATTGTTTTCTACAGTGGCTGCACCAATTTATATCCCACCAACAGTGTAACAAGGGTTCTCCTTTTTCCACATCCTCACCAACACTTTTTCTTTCTTTCTTTCTTTCTTTCTTTCTTTCTTTCTTTCTTTCTTTCTTTCTTCTTTCTTCTTTTTTTTTTGCCACAAGGTGTGTTTTATTTTTCATTAATCATACAAAAAGCTTGCTAAAATATCCCAGGCAAACCAGAGAATTTGGCAGTCTGATTGTGGGATCCCCTCAGAGACCCACAAGCCAGTGGTGTAGGCACAGAGTGCCCGGGGTTCACAGTGCAGCTTGTCACTCATGTCCATCTTGCAGGTGGCTCTTCTTCCTCACATCTTGACTGGGATGTCTTAGAGATGATGGGGGAATCCTCTAGGTTCTTAGGAAATTTCACTCCTCTTCTGCTCAATGGTCTCTGGTTGGCTGAGTGTTCTCTGCATCTCTGTCTTCTTCACCTTGGCCTTATGGAAGCTGGCAATTTCCCCCATCCATGTCTGGTTTGTCTGTCATTTTTGTAAAGTGATCCTTGGAGTTCTGCTCTGAGTCCAGTGCCTGGTGCTCCCACTTGTGTTGCTGCAGCAAGAAATCTTATTATTTCTTTTTTATTCTAGCCATTCTGACATTGTTAAAGTGATATCTCATTGTGGTTTTGATTTACATTTCCCTAATGATTAGTGATGTCGAGCATCTTTTGATGTGTCTCTTGGCCATTCATCTTCTTTGGAAAAATGTCCCTTCCTATTTTTTAATCCGATTATTTATTTCTTTGGCGTTGAGTTTTATCAGTTCTTTATGTTTTGAAAAGTAACCCCATGATGGATATATCATTTGCAAAATGTAATAAATATCTTCTCCCATTCAGTAGGTTGCCCTTTTGTTTTGATGATGGTTTTCTTCACTGTGCAGAAACTTTTTATTTTGATGTAGTCCCAATAGTTTATGGTTGCTTTTATTTCCCTTGTCTTAGGAGACATATCTTTAAAAATGTTATGGCTGTTGTCAGAGGGATTACTGACCTGTAGTGCTCTCTTCTGGAATTTTTATGGTATCACTTCTCACATTTAGGTTTTTAATCCATTTTGAATTTGTGTTTTGTGTAGGAATCATCCAGTTTCATTCTTTCATGTAGTGTCCAGTTTTTCCAATACCATTTGTTGAAGAGACTATCTTTTTTCCATTGGATATTCTTTTCTGCTTTGTCAAAAATTAATTGTCCATATAGTTGTGGGTTTATTTCTGGATTTTCTATTCTGCCCCATGGATCTATGTGTCTATTTTTGTACCAATACCATACTGTTTTGAGTACTACCACTTTGTAATATAACTTGAAGTCTGGAATTGTGATGCTTTTCTTTTTCAAGATTACTTTGGCTATTCAGGGTCTTTTGGGATTCCACACAAATTATAGAATTGTTTATTCTAGTTCTGTGAAAAACGCTGTTGATATTGTTTTTAAAGATTTATTTGGGGGAATCCCTGGGTGGCTCAGCAGTTTAGCGCCTGCCTTCGGCCCAGGGCATGGTCCCAGAGTCCTGGGATCGAGTCCCATGTCAGGCTCCCTGCATAGAGCCTGCTTTTCCCTCTGCCTGTGTCTCTGCCTCTGTCTCTCTCTCTCTCTCTCTCTGTCTGTCTCTCATGAATAAATAAATAAAATCTTTAAAAAAAAGATTTATTTATGTTAGAGAGAGAGAAAGAGAGCATGAGCGGGGAAGGGGCAGAGGGAGAGGGAGAGAGAATCCTTAAGTAGACTCCTTGCTAAGTGTAGAGCCTGACACACAGCTCAATCCCAGAACCCTGAGATCATGACCTGAACCGAAGTCAAGAGTTGGCTGCTTAACCGACTGAGCCACCCAGGTGCCCCAAAAATGCTGTTGATATTTTGATAGGGATTGCATTAAATGTGAATATTGTTTTCGGTAGTATGGACATTTTAACAATATGTGTTCTTCCAATCCATGAGCATGGAATGTCTTTCAATTTTTGTGTCATCCACATAACTCGGGGAAATGAATAAGGGGTAGTGGAAGGGGAGGTGGGCAGGGGGTTGGGGTGACTGGGTGATGGGCACTGAGGGGGGGACTTGGCGGGATGAGCACTGGGTGTTATGCTATATGTTGGCAAATCAAACTCCAATAAAAGAAATTAAAAAAAATTGTGTCATCTTCAATTTCTTTCATCAATGTTTTATAGTTTTCAGAGTACAGGTCTTTTACCTCTTTGGTTAGGTTTATTCTTAGGTATCCTAGCATTTTTGATACAATTATAAATGGGATTATTTTCTTAATTTCATTTCTGCTTCATTATCAGTGTATAGGAATGCAACAGATTTCTGTATGTTTATTTTGTACCCTGTGGCTTTACTGAATTGATTTATCGCAGTTCAAGTAATTTTTTTGGTGGAATCTTTGAGGTTTGATATATAGTGTCATATCATTGTCATCTGTAAATAATAAAAGTTTTTGGGCACCTGGGTGGCTCAGTCGGTTAAGTGTTTGCCATTCAGCTCAGGTCATGATCCTGGGGTCCTGGGATCAAGCCCCATGAGTTCTCTGCTTAGCGGGGAGCCTGCTTCTCCTTCTCCCTTGCCTGCTGCTCCACCTGATTGTGCTCTCTCTCTCTCTCTCTCTCTCTCTCTCTCTCTCTCTCTGTATTTCATTCTCTGTCAAATAAATACACGAAATCTTAAAAAAAAATAATGAAAGTTTTGCTTCTTCCTTACCAATTTGGATGCCCTTTATTTATTTTTCTTGTCTGACTACTGTGGATTTCCATTACTAAGTTGAATAAAAGTGGTGAGAGTGGGCATCTTGTCTTGTTTCTGATCTTAGAAGAAAAGCTCTCAGTTTTTTTTACCATTGAGGAGGATGTTGTCTATGGGATTTTAATATATGACCTTTATTATGTTGAGATACATTCCCTCTAATCCTACTTTATTGAGAGTTTTTATCATGAATGGATGTTGTACTGTGTCAAATGCTTTTTCTGCATCTATTGAGATGATCATATGGTTTTTATCCTTTCTCTTGTTAATGTGATGTGTCATGTTTATTGATTTGTGAATATTGAACTAGCCTTACATCCCTGGAATAAATCCCACCGGATCATGCCAAATGATTTTTTTAATGTATTGTTGGTTTCAGTTTGCTAATATCATGTTGAGGATTTTTGCATCTATTCTCATTATACATATTGGCCTGTAGTCTTCTTTTTTTGTAGTATCTGTATGCGGTTTTGGTAGCAGGGTAATGCTGGCCTTATAGAATGAATTTGGAAGCTTTCCGTCTCCTCTGGTTTTTGGAAAAATTTGAGAAGAATTGGTATTAACTCTTCTTTCAATGTTTGGTAGAATTCACCTGTGAAGTCATCTGGTCCTGGATTTTTGTTTTTGGGGAGTTTTTTGATTACTAATTCAATTTCATTACTAATTAGTCTATTAAAATTTTCTATTTCCTCCTGATTCAGTTTTGGAAGGTTATATATTTCTAGGAATTTATCCATTTCTTCTAGGTTGTCCAATTTATTGGCATGTAGGTTTTTTTTTTATCATATTCTCTTATAATCCTTTATATTTCTATGATGTTGGTTATTTCTTCTCCTTTATCTCTGATTATATTTGAGTCCTTGCTCTTCTTTTTGGTGAGTTAAAGGTTTATCAATTTCATTGATCTTTTAAAGAACCAGTTCATAGGGCACCTGAGTGGCTCAGTCAGTTAGGTGTCTGACTCTTTATTATGGCTTAGATCATGATCTCAGTGTTGTGAGATCAAGCCCTGTGTTAGACTCCATGCTCAGTGCAGAGTCTGCTTGAGGTTTTTTCACTCCCCCGCTGCTCATCCCCAACTCGCATGCATACTCTCTCTCTCTAATAAAGAAATACATTAAAAATCACTTAAAAAATTAAAGAAACAGTTCCTGGGATGCCTAGCTAGCTCAGTCAGGGGAGCA